GCCCCTGATACCTCCAGCTCAAACACTCCCCAACCAGGCACCCAGATGAAACCTAGCTTCCTAATAAATGTTTACTAGGAGCCACGCTGCACTAAAAGCCTCCAATACAGGAAACACAATGTTGCCAGCCAATCAAGACAAAAAAAAAATGCTACAAAACAGACAGAAGATATTAGAAACACCAATCAAGCAGAACACAACAAACTCCAAGAACAATAAACACAGACCAAGACTCCCAATTAATCAGGATGAAGAAAAAAACATTCTGGCACAGCAGTAGTCTAGCACCAAATTTAAAACAGAAACGGCTGTGAAAGTCTGACTCACAGACGAATACAATACACAAGCCTGATGATGGCAGATGAGATTCTGCCAAAACGTTGCTACAACTTTAAAAGCACAACTATAATGACGTGGGAAAATACCCAAACAAAGCTGAATACCATATATATGTATGTATGTATGTATGTATGTATGTATGTATGTATGTATGTATATACATACATACATACATACATATACATACATAGATACATACATATATTCATTAATGTTCATATTGTACAAACTTACATAAGGATTATTTCAATGACAGTCTTCATTTATAATCTAGCAAAGGTTGAGAAGAAATCAGGGTCACTAATGACCGTGTGGTATGTTGCAGCCTACATATCTAGATACAGAGATGTCAATATATATATGCCTAGACATCTAGTTAGAGAAGCTTTTGCACTGGAAACTACATGGACACACTAGAGTCTTCATGGAGCTCTTCACTTGGTCAGTGGTCTTTGTAGAAGAGGTAAACCCTCCTTCATATTTATATTGGATTAAACCAATATCCAACCAACTGAATTAAGGCAACCCCATCCACATTTGGAGAGCAAGCCTGTTTACTTATTTCTTTTTACTTTGAAAACAGGCTTCCGGGTCCCACCACGAGGGTTTCAGCTGCAGGCAGCGAAATAAAAACCCGTGGCCCAGCAAGTGCTAACAATCGGCGTAGCCAGAGCTTTAACAACTATGACAAATCCAAGCCCACAAGCCCACCTTCCCTTCTAGCAAGTAGCAGTGAGAAAGGTAAGTGACTTGAATTTCTCGTTAGTACACTACACGTGCTGTTCTCAAAAGCTGAATAAAAACCTGATCATTTTGGGGGAGGGGGGTTGGGGGGAATTGTAAATAAATGACACGATTCAGCCAGAGTTAATCATTTTCAAGCATGTTTAAAATACAACTTAATTTGGCCAGTAGACCCTTTTGATGTGGTGCAGTGGAATTTCTGGAAAGTTTACATGTTCTCCTTTTTCTTCTTCAGTAAGTCTATCATAATAAAAGATATGACACATTTACCATATATGTATTGTTTAAGAACTGAATGAAATATTTTTCACATAGGTTGGTCTATATCAGGGGTGTTAAACTCACAGCCCGCAGGCCAGATGCATCACGTGCTGGCCCCGCCCAGTTTAGCAAAGGGGGGGGGAATCCTGATACATCATGTGACGCCGCGAGTTTGACCCCCTGGTTTCTATCAGATATGCTGAAGATATTAGAACTGTACAAAAACTTGAATCTTACCTTCTGCTTTATATTAGAGGAAATTAGCTGGTTGGATTTGCTGCATACAGGTAGTCCTCGACTTATGACCACAGTGGAGCCCAAAATTTATGTTGTTAAACAAGACGTTTGTTAACTGAGGTTTGCCCCATGTTACAACCTTTCTTGTCACAATTGTGAAGTGAATCACTGAAGTTGTTAACTAAGTAACCCAGTTTAAAGTGAATCTGGCTTCCTTATTAACTTTGCTTATCGGAAAGTCACAAAAGATGATTACATGACCCCAGGACACTGTTACCTTAATAAATATGAGCCGCTTACCAGGCATCTGAATTTTGATCATGTGACGATGGGAATGCTGCAACTATTGTGTGAAAAATGGTCCTTAATCACTTTCAGTGCTTTGAAACTAGTTGCTAAACGAACTATTGTAAATTGAGGACTACTTACAATAGAATAAAACACTGCATTGAAGAAGGACATGAAATTGCTTCTCCCTGATTTTTTCTTTGATTTCCCACAATGGAATGGAATGGAACGGAACGGAACGGAACGGAACGGAACGGAACAGAACAGAACAGAACAGAACAGAACAGAACAGAATAGAATAGAATAGTTGAAAGGGACCTTGGAGGTCTTCTAGTCCAACTCCCACCTTAGGTGGGAAACCCCATATTACTTCAGACAAATGGTGGTCCAATCTCTTCTTAAAAACTTCCAGTGTTGGAGCATTCATGTCTTCTGGAGCCAAGTTGTTCCACTGATTAATTGTTCTCACTATCACCTGATTTGTGGCCATTTTATGAGCTATTCAGTTCCAGCCTTCCATGATGCATTCTTCTCCCCTCTATATTTTCTAGCCCCTTAAATTCAAATCAAAAGCCTGTAGCAATAATTGTGTATTTTTAGACGATGTTTAGGTGGATGGGTGGGGAGGTATTCAACAGTTGAATGATAGGAAAGTGCCTAACACAAACATGGTAGAATGATGATTCTCAACCTTTTCTTCACTGTGGACCTCCTTTAAATACCTTTTGTGTCCATGTACCATGTACTCCCAAAACAACTCAATATTTTGTGTCATAAGATGTCTTCAAGCCTTCATGGACCCCCTGTGATGACACCTCCCCCCAATGTCCACTGCCACAGATTGAGATTTCTTGGGATAGAACTTTGCTCTGTTTAACCTATCTTGTAGTAATTCTTCAGACTTTTAGCTAGAAAGTTTTCCAGTGCAATCTGGACATTCTGAAACATACATCAATGGTCTGCAGAGAAAAATGCACAGCTTCATTCACTTATTTCAGAAGAGTTTTGTCAACAAAAAAGAGAGCCTGCAGAGAATAATTATTATCTGAAATTAATGCCTACTTGCTACGATCAGATAAACAGAAAAGCCATCCTTCCTTATGTTAGAGTTCTTAAGAGATCCATTAAAAGGATTAAAAAAGAATCATTCACATTAGCCCTGCTAATTCTAGATTTAGCTTTACACCTGTGCTCTATTTTGTTACTAGAAAATAAAGTAAAAGTTAAGATTGAAAAGGTATGTATTGCATATAAAGTTTTCTATTTGAAACCAATAGGCTGCAGTTCAAAATAACTGAAGCAGATTCCTTCTTAGTCTATAACCTTTTGTTGTTTGGAAAATGCTATCAGTCCAGGATAATAGGAGCAGAAAATTGGTCCCTTTGAAGTAGTATATCCTTAATTAAGAACAAAAGCAAAAGTAAACATCTCAAGTGCATCTCCGGTGTTTTTGTATAATAAATTAGCTTGTTGACTTCTACTCCTTATTTTCCATGGAGAGGATGAAGGGATTTTGAATGCACATGATTTAAATTTAATTTCAAGGACCATTGAGTACAGGGTTGATAGCTGTAAATGTGCTCTTGTGTTCTATTGTTACATAAAAATGAAGAACTCATCATGAATGCAGATTTTATATGTATTCTTAAAAGGTGCTCTGTTGAATTACTGAAAATATCTTTTTATTTGAGTCAAAAGGCTGCAAAATACAATTTCGTGTTTTATATATTTTGATATAATGCTAGTCTTAAAGAGTATAAATATATAACAGATAATCAGAGTTGGAAGGGACCTTGTAGGTCATCTAGCCCAATCCCCCACGGGAGCCCCTATACCATTTCTGACAAATGGCAGTCCAATCTCTTCTTGAAAGTCTCAAGTGATGGTGCTTCCACAACTTCCAAGGGCAAGCTGTTCCATTGGTTGATTGTTCTCACTGTCAGAAAGTTTCTCCTTATTTCCAGGTTAAATCTCTCTTTGTTCAGTTTCCATCCATTATTCCTTGTCTTGTCCTTCAGGAGCTTTAGAAAATATTTTGACCCCTTCCTCCCTGTGGCAGCCCCTCAAATATTGGAAGACTGCTATCATGTCTCCCCTGGTCCTTCTCTTTACTAGGCTAGCCAAGCCCACTTCCTGTAACTGTTCTTCATGTGTTTTAGTCTCCAGACCCCTAATCATCCTGGTTGCTCTTCTCTGTACTTTTTCTAGAGCCTCAACATCTTTTTTATAATGTGGTGAACAAAACTGGATGCAGTACTCTAGGTGTGGTCTTACTTTATAGAGTGGTATTAGTACCTCACTTGATCTTGACTGTATTCCTCTGTTAATACAATTTAGGATTGCATTAGCTTTTTTAGCTGCTGCTGCACACTGCTGGCTCATATTTAGCTGGTTGTCTACTAAGACTCCAAGATCCCTCTCACTGTTACTGCTATTGAGCCTGGTTTCACCCAGTCTATATGTGTACTTTTTTTTCTTGCCTAAGTGTAGGACTTTACTTTTCTCTATATTGAATTTCATTTTATTAGATATGGTCCAGTGTTCTAGTCTGTCAAGATCCAGATGGATCTTGAGCCTATCTTCTTGGGTGTTAGCTATTCCTGCCAGCTTAGTATCATCTGCAAATTTGGTAAGTTCCCCTTCTATTCCCTCATCTAAGTCATTAATGAAGATATTGAAGAGTCCTGGGCCTAAGACGGAACCTTGTGCCACCCCACTGCTTACTTCCCTCCATGTAGACTTAGACCCATTAAGGACTACTTGTTGAGTACGGTTTGCCAGCCAGTTGCGAATCCATCTAGTGGTGGTGCTATCTATTTCATTTTTTTCTAGCTTACTGAGAAGTAGGTTGTGGTCTACTTTGTCGAATGCTTTGCTGAAATCTAAATATATTATGTCCACAGTATTTTGCTGATCTACTAATTTAGTCACTGTGTTGAAGAAAGAAATAAGATTGGTTTGGCATGATCTGTTTTTAACAAACCCATGACGACTGCTAGTTATTACTTTACTTGTTTCTCCCGTGTTTCTCATATAATAAGGCCGGGTCTTATTTTTTTTTTGAGCCCCGAACAAATGGCTAGGACATCTTTTGGGGGGTGAATTAATTTCTTTCTCCCCCATCGCGCACCCTCGCCTAGGGTGCCCCGCCGGCAGCTATGCCTCGCCACTCCTAACGGCCAATCATGGTGGAGCGCAGAGGGCTCCCTTACCCCCATCAAGCGCTGAAGACCCGGGTCAGTGGGCGGGCGGGGATGTCTGCCGGCAGTGTTTCAGCCGCTTCTCAGGCCTCCGTAGCTTCCCCGGTTCCCACCAGTGCTGGTGCCTCTCTGACCAGTGCAGTCTCCAACAACAGCGTCTGAGTCACTCCCGCTTTTCCCCTGTCCCCATAACAACAGGAAATAAAAAACATTTTGAGATACCTGGGAGCCCTGCACACTGCGTTTTGGTTTAATCCCGAGTGGCTGGGTGGGCGTGAAAAGAGCCAAGCGAGCGTCTCTGCTGCTGCTACCCTTGGTGCTCCAGCCTCAGGCTCTACAATAACTTCCCAAACTCCTGTTCACAATAATCAGTCAATCAAATAAGTCACTTGATGGGCTCCATCCCATTGTGAGTTATCCAGGCCAGTTGGCAAAACCAGGTCTTCAGGGCCTTGAGAAAGACTGTCAAAGTGGGACCTAATCTTATTACTACAGGGATAATGTTCCATAGAGAGGGAGCCACCATGGAGAAGGCCCTTCTTCTTGGTCCTGTTAGATGTACCTCATTAGGGGAGGGGGCCTTGTAGCATTCCCTGCCTCCCTGCTCTGATGAATTGGTAGAGGTGACTGGGAAAAGAAGGTCCTTCAAATATTGCCAGTTCCAAGCCATGTAGGGCTTTAAAGGGGACACTCAGCATCTTGAATTGGACCCAGAAGCAAATTGGCAGCCAATGCAGCTTCTTCAGGAGAGATGACACATGTGCACATCTAGGCCTGCACAAAAACCATACAGGCTGCTGCATTTTGAACCATTGAAGCTTCTGGATACATTTTAAGTGCAGCCCCATGTAGATCATGTTTAATAATCAGGATGGAAGGTGACCTGGATGTGAGTAACTATGAGCAAGGATCGATATAAGAATCATAATCAGAATAGAGCTGGAAGGGATCTTGAAGGTTTTCTAGTCCAACCCCGCCTCAAGCAGGAGACCCTATGCCATTCTGGACAAA